TTCTCCAGCCCTTTTCAGGGCTGGCGGTGGCCCTGGCTCTCCCGCTGACCCAGGAAGGGAACGCAGTCACTGTACAACCTGGGATGGTTCTAGGACAGCCCGTCCTCCTCAGTGCCTTGTCCTGTGTTAGGCCTCAGTTTACCTCCTCGGTGAGCATCTCATCTCCAGAGTCTGGTTAGGTAGGGCTGATGTGCGCAGTGGGGGTGCTGGGGCCTCACTGGTGGGGAGAAGCCCTCCCACTGCCACACCCCACCTGGCACGGCCCCCGAACGAGCAGGTGGCGTGTGTCAGAGCAGGTTCACAAAGGTGCCCAGGAGCACAGACCACCAGGGCCCCACCGTTCCTTAGCTATGCGACTTTGGGCCTCGATGTCCCCATCTGGGAGCAACAATTATGAATTCATGGGAAAGGGCTCAGTGGAGATGAGCCGATGTTACTACGTACCGGGAGGAGGGGCTGGGTGTAAAGGCGCCCACGCCGTCCCTCATTATCACCTGCCCTCCCCTTGCAAGTAAAAGTTGCCGTGGGACCGTCATGCTGGCTGTAACCACAGTCCGGCCCTGGAGCGCAGCTGAGACGCGTTTCCCCCTGGATGTCCCTCCCAAGCCGAGGCGCTCCCCGACACAGAGTCGCCTCGCAGGGGGCACCTCGATGGAGCGGCCGGGGCGGGGGACAGGGACCTGACCTGGAGGCTCCGCTCCTGGGGGGACTCAGGCAGGCGCAGAGTCGGTGGCACCCTGGTGGCCCCCTCCACGGTGAGGGTGGGGTGGCCCATTGCCTGCGTCACCCACACTGTCCCTTGAGCACTTAGTCTATGTCTGGTGCGGTGCCAATACCCGCCACACACATTATCGCCTGGGCTCTTCACAGTCCTGCAGGCGGTTGATATACCTGTCCCATCTGGTGGAGGAGGTGACCGAGGCCCAGGCGGGTTAAAGTGTTCACACAAGGCCATGCCGCTAACAAGACGTAGGATGGGCATCCAGACCTTGCCCTGCCTCGTCCTAAACCCACCCCCGACTCCAGCCCTCCCACGCATCTTTGAATGTCTTCTGGTATTTCTGTGAGTCTGGGAACTGTCTCTTCCCGCTCCTACCCTAGGCCAAGAGCCTCTGGCCAAGACCCAGTTTTCTTCCTCTGCACCTGTCCTCAGAGTCCGGGACCAGGCTTAGCACACCCAGGACACTTGGGCCGAGGGAGGGGCAGAGTGGAGCTGGGTGTGGAGTGGGCTTGGAGGTTGTTCTGGAAAATGGGCCCCTTGATCACCCTTGGAGCAGAGGAAGAACCTGGTGAGGTCCCTTGTGTATCCCCCAGCTACCCCACCTTCCCCCACACACAGAGCACAGATGCCCCTACCCTGCAGGGAGGGAGCCCAGAATAGCCAACCTGTACCCTCATCCTCGCCTCCAACCCTGGGTCCCTCCATCCACCCCCAGCTCAGGGTCAAGGCTGCAGGCACCATTGATAAGTCACCCCAAACCCCCCTCTCTGACACAAGTGGGCAGTCCCCAAGCCTAGCCCACTTCCCTCACCTCTGTCACCCAGCAGCCAGCGGCCCTGTGCTCCACCCCTGGGTCTCCCCACTGGCTGGGGGCAGGGCGCAGAGGGGTGAGGCAGGCAGGGTCTCAGGTACCACGCAGAGGCAGTGAGGGGGCTGCAGGCTTTGAACCCAGATCCCAGGTTTTGAGTCCAGGGTTCCCCCTCCTGCTTCTGGTAGCTGAGCTTGGACAAGTTACTCCTCTGGGCCTCGGTTTCCTCATCTGTAGAGCGGGAATAATTATGGGCCTTACCGCCTGGCCTTGGAGTGGGGGGTTAAGCAAGTCCCTGCACCTAAAGGGCATAAAGTAGGTCCTGCCCCAGAATAAATGTACAGCAAATGTACCAGTTGTTACTGGTCCTACTTCTCTGGTAGAGGGGCCTGGGGCACCCAGGTCTGGGGCCTGGCTGGCTTGGGGCACCATGACGCCATCAGCTCCTTTGACACATTGTCAGTTGTTAGGGAGGCTTCCCCTCTGGGCATCCAGAGCCCAGCGCCCAGATCAGACGCCCGAGGGGCTGAGCCTGGGGCTCAGGAGCCTGGGGCTGAGCAGCTCCAGGACCTCCAGGAGGACCCCTCCCACTGCTCAGCCCGTGTGCTGGGCCAGGAGAGCTGAGGTCAGTGTTGCCATTGGTGTGGGCCTGGGGCTCCCGGGTGACTGCCAGAGCCCCCTCGGGGACCTTTGCAGATGGTGGTTCTCATGGACCCAATGGAGGACCCCGATGATATCCTTCGAGCACACCGTTCCCGGGAAAAGTCCTACCTGTTTGACGTGGCCTTTGACTTCACCGCCACCCAGGTGAGGGAGGGCCCGGGCCTAGGGACATGCAGGAGCCCCTCTCCAACCTTTGCCCCACCCGGGAGGGAGCCCTCAGGCGACCCGGCCGTGGACCCTCAGCCCTCTCTCTACCACTTGCTCCCTGGCCTCCATGGTACCGCGTCCCCGTGCGTGCAAATGTGTGTGCGCCTTTGTGCCTCAACACATAGACAGACCTGAGTCAGTGCACGGACGCCACCCTCCGCAGGCACCCACACGGCACACCCCCAGGCTGGCCCCGCCCCCAGGAGCTGGAGGAAGGTGCTTGGAGCCCATCTGGCGCTGGGAGGAGAGTCTCGGGGAAGCCGACACCCTCCCAGATACCCCTCTTCTTGTCCATCTGGGGGATGCTCCCAGGAGCAGATGTAATGCGTCCTTGGGGCGGGGGGCCAGGAGCCAGCAGTGGGGGCAGGTGTCTCAGGTGTCCTGAGCTCTGTTTCAGGCTGGTGAAAGCAGAGACACCCACCCCCCACTCCCCGCCCCTACTTCTCGGGCTGAGAGCCCCAGAAACAGAACCTGCTCCTGCCCCGGGCCAGGACATGCCTGTGGCTGTGTGTGCTCTGTCCTGCCTGTACACCAGGCCCCTGACAATCTCCTCTTCCCTGCAGGAGATGGTGTATCAGGCCACCACCAAGAGCCTTATCGAAGGCGTCATCTCAGGCTACAACGCCACTGTCTTTGCTTACGGCCCCACAGGTGAGGCGAGACCCTGGGACAGGACCATATGCCCCTTCTGACCCCCTGGCCTCAGCTGAAGCAGGAGTCAAGGATGTGGCTTGATCCAAATGCCTGCAAGGCCCTCTGGCCACAGAGGCCCCATCCCCAGCCGAGAATGCCATCCTCCTCGCCCCCCTACCTCCCTGGCCATTTGCGGAGTCCGGCCTTGGGGACAGACTCAGGTGTGGCAGGGAGAGCCCTGGTCCAGCTGAGCCGTGCTTCCGGCCCCCAAACAGCTTAACCACCACCTTGTTCTGCCCCAGGCTGTGGGAAAACCTACACCATGCTGGGAACGGACCGTGAGCCTGGCATCTACGTTCGGACCCTCAATGACCTCTTCCGTGCCATTGAGGAGACCAGCAATGACATGGAATATGAGGTGTCCATGTCCTACCTGGAGGTGAGCCCTCCCCTGACCCCAGCTTCAGCGAGAGGCCCGTAGGGCAGCCACACGCATTCCGTTGGCCCCATTTTGCCAAAACCCCGAGGTTCAGAGAGGTTACACAACCAGGCCAACATCACACAGTAAGTGAGGGAGCAGGGAGTCAAACTCAGGATCCTAGAGCTTTAAAGCCAAGCCCTGCCCCTTTTGCCACAATCCAAAGTAGCCTTGTCCCTGAGCAAAGACCTCAGCCACCCTCCCAGACGACGCCACACCTCAGCACCTCGCCACACCTCAGCACCTCGCCATCATCAAGGGCCCCTGCCTTAAAGCAGTATCTGCCCTGCCAGGCCACCTCCAGGAACCCTGTGTGCATGGGTACAGGTAAGACCCGAGTACCTGGACAGGCTTGAGCCCACTGGCCTGGGTTACCTGGCCACAGCCCCTCCCGTGCCCACCCCGCGGGAGTGCGACTGCCAGGCACCGATGGGACAGCAGTGGTGGGAGCGTGCAGAGGCAGAAGAGCCAGTGGGCTGCACTCCACCTGGCTCCGGGCCACCCTGGCTCCCTCCAGGAGCTGATAATCTCCTGGGTGACAGCTCAGGAAGGGCAGTGATTGCTCCCAGCCACTGCTCCAGGGGCATGATGTTGACTCAGCCAGCAAGATGCACTTGGGGGGGAGGGGAGGTTGCAGGGAGAAGTAGCATAAGGGTTGCCTAGCAACAGGCAGGGCTGGCCATCGGTCAGGTCCCCGTCTTCTGCCCGGTGCCCAGCCCACCTGCACAGGGGATCCCACTTGTTTCTGAGGGTTTCTCTATCCGAGGTTCTGGCAGCCGGATGTTTCCCTGTGGACGCTGAAGTTGCCTTATCCCCACCCCATAGAAAGGAAGGGGTCTTTCTCCTTTTTAAAAAAAAAATATTGGGGCGCCTGGGTGGCGCAGTCGGTTAAGCATCCGACTTCAGCCAGGAAGTCAACATCTCAAGGGTCCTGTGAGTTCCAGCTCGCCAGCCGGGTTTCTGGAAGTTGATGTTTGCATTCGAGCCTGCTCGATTCTGTGTTCTTCCTTCTGTTTTTCTGCCCTCCCTCTCGCTCATGCCTGCCCCTCTCTCTGGTCCTGCACAACAAAACGTTGAAAAAAAAATTTAAAAAAATAAAATAAAAAAAAAAAAAAAAAAAAGCTATTACTTGAGAGAGAGAGAGTGAGTAAGCAGGGGAGGGGCAGAGAGAGGGGAGAGAGAGAGAGAGAGAGAGAGAGAGAGAGAGAGAGAGAATCCTGGGCAGGGTCCCCACTGGGCTTATAGAGCCCGACGGGCTCCAGCTCAGGAGTCGGGAGATCACGATCTGAGCCACAATCAGGAGTCAGATGCTCAACTGACTGAGCCACCCAGGCGCCTCCAGGGCTCCTTTCTCCACCAGTTACTTCTGCCAGCCTGGGGCTCCCAGGCCAGTCGTGTGATTCCTGTCCCCTCTCTGTCAGGGAGGGAGGGGGAACCCGGTCCTTGCCTGACCACCTGCCTAGGTCTCCATTAACACACCCCTTCCCCCCCCCCCACATCAGATCTACAATGAGATGATCCGGGGACCTGCTGAACTCCCCCGCCCCTGGGGTACCCAGAGCTGGGAGGAGGATTCCAAAGGGTCCAGGTGGCTGGAATCACCAGGTCTCTACCATCAATGCCAGCAGGCAAGTCTCAAGGCAACCCTTGGGGCAGTGGAGAGGACATTCACCCATGTGGGCAGGAGGGGACGGGGACTGGCACAGGGCCACTGGGGCTCCAGCTGGGGCCAGCCGACAGATGCAGAGAATCCTGTATGATCAAGGCAAGCAGGGGCTGCTCCCTGACTTCATGCCCTTCCTGCTGCCCCTGGGACCAACCAGATAAGCCTCAGCCCGCCCACCCCTCAGCTCTGGGCTCCCTTCAGGCCCCACCTGGGCCCCGGTAACCTCTAAGAGGAAGGACGTCCTTCCCAGATCCCCAGGGAGTGACGTCCTTCCCACCTTCCACGCAGATCCATGCAGCTGCTTAGAAGGGGAAACTGACAGAGGACCCAGGAGCCCACACAAACCAGGACGTCCTCCTGCCCCACGCTGTGCTCCAGGTGGCCAGCCAGCGCATGGGTAAAAACGTCCTGCAGGAAGTGCAGGGCTGCCTGTTCACATGACCTGGCTGGTTTCTGAGTGCTTCCCAGGTGAGGCCTTCCCACTGCTCCCCAGGACTGGGGAGAATGTTTGGGGGACCTTGGGAGTGGGCAGGGATAAAAGCTCCTGGCTTCCAGGAGATCAGGTCGGGGGAAGCCATCTAGGGAGGTAGGCATGAGGCTCCGCCGGGTAAGGGACTGAGGAATGTCACAGAGGTGCATGAGGGGAAGGGGTGGTGTGGGGTATCCTGGCTATTTGTGGGAAAGATCCTGGATGAGGAGGGGTTTTAGTGGTAAGGAGACCAGCAGGAGGAGGGGCGCTGAAATGAGCAGTCCACATAAGGAGTTGGCAGGGGAGACACATCCCCGACTCAGGGGGCCCCATGAATAATGCTGGGAAAGAGGAGGGTCCATTACTCCTCCTTTCAGAACACCTATCCTCACCCTGCCAGCTGGCACATGCCTCTAATCTAACAGCACCCAGTACCTGTAGCCAGGCCTCCCCTCCTCAGGCAACTGAGGTTTACAGTCACCCAAGTGATGAGGCCAGGTGATGTCACCGCTAGCAGACGCAAGGAGCCAGGATATCGGCCGGGAGAATTCAGAGGGAGCCTCATGTTTGAACTTGTGGAATTAAGGAAACAGGAAGGGCGGTTTCAAGAAAACACACTTTCTGCCAGGAAGGCCTGAGGGCTTCCTTCCTGGAGGAACCCCAGGGAGGCTAGGAGGAGGTGCGCCAGCTTTGGGGGCCGGCAGCTTTGAGCAGGGCTTCTTCAGCATTGACAGTGTCCCTGCAGGGGCCATGGGACAGGAGGGGGACCCCACACACTCACACACATACACACTCGTTTCCCTAGACACTCTCTCACACGTACACATTCTTTTCTATATCGCACACAGCAGGCCAGACGCCAAGACACACACACACACACACACACACACACACACACACCTCCTCCTACCCCCACCCCCACCCCACCCCCCGAAGCCTGGGGCGCCCTCTAGAGCCACGTGCCTGTGGTCTCGCCAGCTCTCAGCCTCCCTCCACGTCTTCCTCGGTGACATGGGGCCAGTCTTTGGGGGGGGGGGGGACAAAGAGCCAGGCTCTCGGCCCTCCCCTGAAGCCTCCAGTCTGTCACTCTCCCCTGAGGCCTTCCTGTTCTCTCACCTTCTTGAACCCTGAAGAGACCAGGCCCTGGGGCACCTCCACATTCCAGGCCCCTGGTGGGGGGAGGGGGGAGGGGCTTGTGGCCCACCCAAGACCACCCAGGGCGCAGGTGAAGCCCCTCCCCTTGCCCCACAAGGGCCCTGGTTCTGCCCGCTTGCTCACCCCCCCCAGACACAGAACCGTGGGCAGCGCATGAAGGAGGGGGCGCACATCAACCGCTCCCTGCTGGCCCTGGGCAACTGCATCAACGCGCTGAGCGACAAGAGCAGTAACAAGTACATCAATTACCGTGACAGCAAGCTCACGCGGCTCCTGAAGGTACCAGCTGCGGCCCCGCCTGGGCACTGGGCCCCCAGAGCAGGGCTGCCCGCTTCAGCAACTAAAAATACAGGACGCCCAGCGACATTGGAATTTCAGACAAACGACGAAATTTATGTGAGTAGAAGTACATCCCATGCAGCGTTTGGGATATACTTGTACTAAAAAAAAAAAAAAAAATCGTTCATCGTTTATCTGAAATTCAGATTTAACCAGGTGTCGTGTATTTTCCCTGGTGACCCTAACCAAAGAGTGGGCAACGGGGAGGGAAAGGCCATGCACTGGACGCCTCCCTTCCCCCGCACCGGGCTGCAGGCCTGAGGGAGCCAAGAGCTGCCTGGGTTGGGGGGTTCAGGTGTCTGCTATTTGGGGGCCCGCCCCTGGCTTCATTCCACTGGCTTCTATCTTCCTGAAGCAACCTCGTCATTGGGGAAATACTATTTCCATTTGCAGATGAGGAAACTGAGGCACAGAGGGGTTAAGTAACCTTCCCAAGGGCCCCGGATAATACAGGCTGGAAGGAGGATCCAGACAGAGTCTGTGGCCTAATATCGCAACTGCGGCGTTAGCCAAGCCCCATGTCAGCCCGCCCCCATTGCTGTGCCCACAGGCCACCGGGAGGTGGGGATGGTGACACAATTGAGCCTCAGCTTTCTCCCCACTCCCCCCGCCCCTCCCCAGGGCTGTTCACACGGAGCAAGGGAGGGGGTGGCCACAGGCCACATTCAGACTTCATACAGGGGTCCCCATCCCCCATCTCGCACTCCAGCTGAAACAACTGTGCCATCAGCAGTCAGAAATGGGGGGCCGGGGGGCCCCTTGAAAGGCCAGAGGTGATGGGAAGGGGGGGCACCTCTCGCTGCCTTTCCTCATGAGGGGAGGGAAAGGGAAAGCCGGGAGGCCCTGACCTGGATCAGATACTTGAAATCTGCAAATGGGAATGTGGAGAAGAATCTGGAAGTGGGGAGGAGAGACAGCAGGGGGACGGGAAACATCTGGACCCAGGGGAGACCATGTGAGGCCCAACACCAACACTTGTGGGTGAGTGCGAGCATCTGTGAGTGTGCATGTGACAGAGCGAAGGAGAGCACACCTCGTGGAGGGCATTGTGGACAGCCCGGCAGGAGCAGGGTCCCAGGGAGGTGGTCCCCGGCTGACAGCAGCCCGCCCTCCCTGCCATCCAGGATTCCCTGGGCGGGAACAGCCGCACCGTGATGATCGCCCACATCAGTCCCGCGAGCAGCGCCTTTGAGGAGTCCCGGAACACCCTGACCTACGCTGGCCGGGCCAAGAACATCAAGACCAGGGTGAGGGCCCTGCCAGGAGGGATTCCTGCCACCCCACCCCATTCTCTGGCATCAGCCACCGTGGCACTGGCCTCCTTCCCTAAGTCCAATGTCACCCCATGCCATTCCCCACACCCTCAACACCTGCGTGCCTGCCGGGAAGCGCACCGCTCCCGAGGGCCCCCTTCTCCTTGTCCAAGGTCATGTGCCCCCTGCCCCATCCCCTTCCATCTCCATTTTCGTCTTCAGATACCCGTTCAGACGTTTACATTTCAAAGCCCGTAACCTAACAGGCCAGCAGAGGCAGCCGATCTGAGCGCTTTCACATGTCACCTCATTTGTTGCTCAAGTGAGGCCAGATTTACTATGCTCCCATCTCGTGGTTTAGGGAAATGAGGCTGAAGGAAGTTAAATGACTCCCCAGCTGGGCACTGAAACTAGAAGTGGCCCTGCCTGGTTTCGGAGTCACCCTCAGGCAAATGCATTAGAATCCCCACCACCTGCTATAGGAAGTGTCTTTTTTTAACATGTATAAAGTTTACTTATTTTTGAGAGAGCGCGAGTGGGGGGAGGGGCAGAGAGCGAGGGAAAGAGAACTCGAGACTCTGAGCTGTCAGCGCAGAGCCTGATTCAGGGCTCGAACTCATGAACCACGAGATCATGACCTGAGCCGAAATCAAGAGTCGGACGCTCAGCCGACTGAGCGCCCCCCGCCAAGGCGTCCTGGAAGTCTCTCTCTACCCGCGTGGGTGGAAGGGTGGGAATGTTCGCCACCTGAGAGCTAGAACTTAGCGAACGCTCCCCCGACCCCGCACTTTGTCAGCTACTGTCCAGGGGCTTTCGGTTTTATTCCAATCCTCAAGGAACTTAATGGGAGGAGGAGGCATGTCCTTGAAAAAGTTCACTGATAATTCAGAATGTTACTAAGACAACAGTACCTGCTGAGGCCACTAGGGAACAGGGAGGTGGGGGTGAGCTGGCAGAACTCGTTGGGGCACTTTGGGGACTGAGAGTGGGACTCTGAAGGATGAGGAGGACAGTCCAGAAGGGCCAGCAGCAGTAAAAGGAGAGGTGTCAAGGGCAGGAAGGAAACGGTGTCTGTGGTAGTGGTGGGGACAGTAGGACAGTTCCTCAACCAGAGCAGAACATTCATGGAACAGTGCTTTAAAAAACAAAAAATCGAGATAGCGGAGGGCCCCAGTGAAGGAACCAGAGCATTTCTCCGGAGCAGTAGGGAGCCAGTGAAGGTTGATGAGCAGAAGCAGCATTTTAGGAGCACGGGTCTGGCAGAGGCAGGGGGTGGGATAGGTTGGGGGGCTGGAAGCAAGGGTGGGGCCATTATCATCATCCAGGAAGACTAGGGAAAGAAGAGAAAGGAAGACCCTGCAGGCAGGCCCCAGTGTCTGGGGTGACTGTACCCGCCCTGCCCTGTTCCGTGCTCTCCACAGGTGAAACAGAATCTGCTCAACGTCTCCTACCACATCGCCCAGTACACCAGCATCATCGCGGACCTGCGGGGCGAGATCCAGAGGCTCAAGTGCAAGATCGATGAGCAGGGTGGGCGGGGCCAGGCCCGGGGCCGGCCGGAGCGGGGTGACATCCGCCACATCCAAGGTGTGTGCTGGGAGCCCAGCTCAGGCAGCCCTCGGGGAGGGGAAGGG